ATTGAATTAAAGGCGAGTGCCCGGACACTGAGCTATCACGTCTCTTTAAACCAGATCATAGTATATTGCTGTAATACAGAAAAAGAGAAGCGGAGGCAGATCGCTGTGTTCAGGCTTATTGTGTTTCTCGACCGATCTATTATCGTCTACATTACGTAAGAAATCGCACAAAAAGTTGAGCGTTCACTCAACCTCTCGACAAGCCCATTAGCATCGCAGCAATACTTCTACTGCACTCTCGAGAACTAACGATATTCAATACATCAACGATATTTAATTCGCCGACGATGTTTGCTACAAATTCGTTCTTGTTGTACAAATTCGTATTTCCATCAATAATACTATCATATAGGTTAATTATAACAAAAATAATAATTTGTACTCAATGTGACATTGTCAGCTTGTTTCAATTTTACGACTATAGAGCTAGTTAAGTTAAATTTCATTTTTAAGTCCAGAGACTAGCAATAAAATTGAAATCATTATTTCTGCAGAATAATTCTTTGCCGGGTGGACCGTAAACCGATTTCGATGACTATTTCGTTGTTGGAACGAAACTACATAGATAATGTCTGTGGGATATATTTGTGAAGTTAATCTTTATTTAGACCTTATGTGGAGAGTGAGTATCATGGAATAAAAACGAAAAACTGCAATTTTCATCAGCACATAAATGACAATCGAGACATTTTTTTTAGTTAGATGAATGGACATTTTGTCGTTTCATCAAACCATTATATCACTCAACTTCAAAAAATTCTGGGCTTAAATAAAAAATAAAAAATCCTTTCATAACACGACGTTCATAAGCACGATCCTTTTATGTTCACCGTTTTTACCTTTATATGTATTTATGTGTATATAGAATATATCATTTTGTGCGTATAACTATTCTTACAACTATTCCTACAATCAAGTGATCTTTATATTAAAACATTGCCCTTATACTTTAGGATAACATTTTCCTGTGTTGTAAGGAAGTTTTACATACATATATTTCACGTGGACAAACACCCAGATGGGAAACAACTATCTGTGGGTCGCACAAATAGTTGTCCCGTGTGGGAATCGAACCCACGACCCCAACACCGAAACCAATACCTTGGCGACATCGCCACGGAGTCATCTAAGTGATATTTCAAATAAGAGTTAGCTATTGTCTGATTGATCTTCGCGTGTTTCGCTTCATATACCGGAGATATCATTGTACATAAGGATCCTGCGAACTTGACACGTCTCGTTATGTGGTGGAGATTTCAGTGCAAATAGTCTTACGAATTAATTTTTAATTAAGACTTTAAAATGTGATCACTTCACTAATCTTCACTATCTACGTGCGGTCAACCAAGAAAAGTATTAACGCAACGAAATAAATTACTCGTAGTGTGAAAAGATACTTTTAAGAAGAATTGCATAACATCATCGGATCTAAAGAGGCTAACTCGTGTTAGGGCCACGCAGCGGCCTCGGCTGTTGCACGGATGAGCAGGCTCGTCCGGGTAAGTACCACGACCTCACAGAAGACCGGCGTCAAGTGGGAGTATAATACTTTCGCGTTTCGTCTGGTAAGTGAGATAGACGGAGCCCAATTTTCAAAAGGCTATCAACTCAACTGCAACCCTCGGGAGTAGCCGATGTCCATGGGTGGCGGTATTCACTTAACATCAGGTGAACCGCCTCCTCGTTTAGCAACTTTTCACATTCAAAAACAAAGACTAAAAAAACTAAACTAAAAAGAAAAATAAAATAACAAAAAAAGAAAACTAAACCTAATAAATATACTTTTGGTCATAAAACTTTTGACGATACTTTAACTAGTCGTTACATGTGGATTAGTCGGTAGCCGTTGTCGTTTTTGCATTACAACGGGATTGGGCGGTGGCATTAGTGATGTGGCATTAGTAACCAGCGACTCATTGTCGGCGATAAATAGGGCGTTTGCAAACGGGAGCAACGCTTAGACGTTTTTACATTAGACGAGAGCACAATAGGCCGGCCGTAGACGAGAGACGAATGTCCCACTGTTAGGTAGCTCCGTTTTTCATTCAGCTACAAACGCTATAGAGCTATTGTTTCGTTTGAAGGCCGCCTTTTCATAGTGATTTTAATCTAATCTCCACTTATTGTAATCCAGGTCAATGGATTCTAATATCAGGCTCAAAAGAAACTGTTTTTCATTTATATTCTAATCTTTCTCTGTCTATTATAATCATCTGGGTCGATAGATGCCAATCTAAACCTGTGTAAGAATCTGTATTCCAGATATATACAAAACTTTCTATTCTACTCGTCTGTTTCTAAGGACGCTTATCAAGCAATTCATACTTTATTACATATTAAATCTCTACTCTATCGAAATTCTTATCAGGAGTTTGAGAGTTCAGAAATTTGAGTTCCAAATGGAAATTAACATTCCCGAATTGTGTTCTAATGCTCCATCTAAATAAATATGTAGCTAATATTAGAGTATATATTTGATACGTAGCAATTTACATTGACATAACCCAGCCCAGCAAAGTGAAGACGACTTTGCTTAATAGCTGAGACGTCGGATATGTTAGGTGACATGTACCAATTGGAATCCCAAGGCCGTGGAATGAAATTTCCTCACTTTTACACATTAAACTCGCAAACCTACCCGGTATGGGGGAACGATCACCACGGACACGGTTACGGTGGTAGGGCCACGTAACAGTGTTTGTAATTGCACGAATGGGCAGGTCCGTCCGGGTTAGTACCACGACCTCACAGAAGACCGACGTAGTAGAAGTGTTGCACTTCTGCGTTTCGTCTGGTGAGTGAGGTGGCCGAAGCCCACATTATTAAGAGGTGGCAACGCATCTGCGACCCTACGAGTGTTGCAAATGTCCATGAGCAGGCGGTTATCACTTAACATCAGGTGAACCGCCAGCTCGTTTGCCACTTTCTCACATAAAAAAACTTAACAACTGAATATCGTTGGGATAAAAGTAAAGTAAACCGCCTATAGATATCACACTGCTGGGCAAAGGCCCCTCTATACAGAGGGTATTAGGGCATAGCTAACCATGCGGCATCGCTGTGGATTGGCGGACTTCAAATATCTTTTTTTTGTTCCTCACGAAGTTTTTTTAAAACTACCAATTTCATAGGTGCCGGCACCGGGATTTGAACCCAGCTTGCTCGAGTGTTTTTGAATTAAAGCGAGCGCCCGGACAATGAGCTATCATAATGAGCTCTTGATAATTTTGTAGTAGCATAGATAATGGTTCTGTCCGCCACAATATCAGCATAATGGTCTAATGCCAGTCTAGAACTTCAGATTAATCAAGCTACTTGATTTGTTTCGTTCGGAACAAAAGACCCCTAGATAGACAGCAGTGTTATTTTACTATCTAAGCCTTCTTTAAAACACTCCAGAAACTAGAATAAAGAAATGAACTTCGCTGCAATGCTTACATAAGAACTTCTCCACGAGAGAGATACTACCTCTTCATATTGGCTTGTACATTTCGAAGGTTGAAAATATATTCATTCGCCTAGACCATAATCAAGTTAAAAGATTAAAGACTTGAGTTCGCCACAGTCTTTTTTTAGAATAGCCGGGCCTACAACTGCTTGATTCGCGAGCACGCTTAGTTAGACATGGCGGACGGAAAAGCACTTAATGCAGCTAGAAATGAGAAAGAGTTGCTTCGCTATTGGAAGTAATTGCACCATATTAAAATGACAAATGGCAACTAAAAACCGGCCGAGTGCGAGTCGGATGAAGGTTTTCGTAACATCTAAAAAAACGTCAAAAAATCATGCCTGTTGTATGGAAGCCTAACTTAAATATTTTGTTATATCGTTTTTTAAATACACCATCTGTGAAAATTTCAATTGTTCTATCACTATCACGGTTCATGAGATACAGCTTGTTGGCAGACGGACAGACAGACAGCAGTCTTAGTAATAGGGTCCCGCTTTACCCTTTGGGCACGGAACCCTAAAAACGCACCGAAATAGTTTCGTTTTAAATCGGAAAATGATGTACAACTAATCTATAAGCGCAATAAGGTAAGGCGGAACAAGAAGGAGAAATGGACGTAGTTACGCTATATAGATTCAACCCATAAAAGTTGACTAAGTTTAGTAGAATACTTGCAGTTAATTATTTGTTTTAAAAGAAAACCACACACTGCATACCCATTCCATCATGACCCCATACAAACACGCCCCAAAACACAACCCCGAGTTATAGTAAATCTTTCTTTTTAATATCATTTTTTTTTTCCTGATATGAAACAAACGTAACATCTCATAGCCTTTTCAAAGACCACTATAAATATCATTAGTTTAATTACATAGTATAAAACAAAGTCAACCCGCTGTCTGTCTGTCCCTATGTATGCTTAGATCTTTAAAACTGCGCAACAGATCTTGATGCGGTTTTTTTACTAGATAGAGTGATTCAAGAGGAAGGTTTATATGTATAACACTTTGCACCCGTGCGAAGCCAGGGCGGGTCGCTAGTTATTTTTTAAATGACTTATTATGTTATCATCAATCACTTAGAGAAATTGTTAAGTTTTTTAATGCGTACCACGTCTGAAATCTCAAAGGCATTTTCCCAAAGTTTGTGTTTGTCTGTGACATTGACTCTAGAGACATTTCATTTTCTCTTCACATATTTTCCTCCCAGAGCGCATGGCTCTCGCCTTTAATTTAATATACTCGAGCAACCCGAGTTCGATGCGGTGCCGGCACCCGGGAAATTGTTAATTTTAAGTGCTGACTTATCACGTTCTCAGCGGTGAAGGAAAACATCGTGAGGAAACCTGCACATTTTCAAAATAATAACAAGAAAATATATTTCGGAGTTATTGACATAACGGATCTGCCCTAATACCCTATGTACAGAGGAGACCTTTGCCCAGCAGTGGGATATCCCATACGATACAAACACATAATATGTATAGGCTGATACTTTACTATCACTTTTTATCTTCCCAACATTTGCATTACAAGTTCGTACTCACATGGGGGCGGCGCTTTCCTCTGGTTGTTCCACACGACGAGGATCTTGGCGAGGCTGGGGGTCCTCACCAGTTTCCTGATCAGCGTGAACAGGCTGTCCACGCGGTCGTAGGTGAGGATGACGGCGGTGAAGCCAGGCGACTTAGGAGCGGTGACCGGCAAGAACAGGGGGTTCACCGGCCCGTACTGGGTGAGACAAGCACGCTTTATTATTTTTTTTTTATATGCAGGTCGGCTTTTCTAAGTGTATCCATTTTTTTTTTAAATTAAATTCTAGACATAAATAATGTTATATAAAAAAATGATAAATATTTAAAATCACTCATAAGTAATTAATAACATTCATTTAAACTTATCTCAAAAAGTGCGTGATTTATACGCAACTCATTTATTTTACGCGCGATCATTCATAACTAACACGCACACAAGTTCGTGCACAGTAAAATTTAGGTATTTATGAATGACTATCGCATTGTCAACACGTTCTGTTTTTTAGGTAATAGAATGGCATTTTTTTTTTTGGAAAAAAAACTTTGTTTTTTATTTCCATAAACGATTATGTTACCGAGTCTGAACCTCCTGTGTAAATTTGGGCACTTCTCAAAAAATCCCTGTATAAAAACTAACCCACTCGTAAGTGTCGTGTTAAAAATTGTCAAAATACTACTACCCAAGTGTCGTGTCAAAAGAAGAAGAAACCTCTAAATTATCAAAGACCACATTGCATCAATGATAACTAAGACTAGTCACTCCCGATTTACACTGAGGAAATATGATGGATTCTACTTTTCCTCCAGTGAAACAATGACGCACACTTACAACAAATGTGAGTTTATTCATCGTCCAGAATTCTAGTGAACTGGTGGTTCGTAATTCTTCGCAATAAACTAATTAGAATCTCGGTGCTGGCACAGAAATTTTCAAATTTTGGTATTTTATTTAGCATATTTATAGTATTACTAGCTGTCCCGGCAAACGTTTTTCTGCCATATAAATTATTTATAGGGAATTTGTAGGGTAGACAAAACTGTTTAGGGTGCACCACCCTTAACATTTAGGGGGATGAAAAATAGATGTTGTCCGATTGGCCGATATGTACACAAAATTTCACGAAAATCGGTCGAGCCGTTTCGGAGGAGTTCGATTATAAACACCGTGACACGAGAATTTTATATATTAGAATTATATTTTAAGCAGTTCAATAGAGAGACCGTGAGGATCCCTGCATATCTTAAAATATATTAATGAGAGATTAGTCTCCCATTCAACTCTGACAAATGAAAAGGTTGGTCAAAAGACTACGATTGTCTACTGATGCCTGTGACCGTCAAAATATCCGTGGAATTGTAAGTTGCGTTGCCGAGGGTGATGTGGGCTCTGGTATCTGGCCACCTCACTCTCGCGACGAAATGATTATTTTTGGAAGGATGTGGGCGCGGAAGGTAGTTGAGGTAGTAGCTATTTGGTAGGAGGGGTCGCGTGGTCGACCACTCTTTGATACTCTGCTGGCATAGCCAATAGAGAGACTTAGGTATTGCATTACTGTAATAAAAGAACAAACTCACCAAATGCTCGGGCATATTCCAGTCCTCATACATCCTGGCGGCTAATGGGAACACTTTCTCGTTGATTATTTCCAGGGTCGTTAGCGTAATCTTTTCTATGCTGGCGAAGTACCTCTCGTATACCCATCTCAACTGCCAGTAGAGTTCACCCCTCCTCTCATTACTGACCGAATGGACAATCCTCAACAAATTCTTGATGTTCTCCTCCGGTATGTACAGTGATGTCCGATGCCAATCCAAGTGGGAGTTGAACGGCAAGACTACAGTATCGGCTATTATAATAGGAATACATTGTGCGGCTAAGAGGTCCATAAGAACGGACTGAGTCAGTCTTGCGCTACCAACAACCAGACAGAACATGCCCTCCTTCAATATATCAGGATATCTAAATACTCTGCCCGTAGTGTATTCACAGCGTTTACTGTGATCTAACCTATTTGACTCGGTTTTGCAATTGCCAAGAAGCAATAAGTCATTTGAAGAGGAAGCTATATTCTGTAATTGAGCTAAATAATCCTCGGGAATGTTTTGCTGAGTGGAGATAATCATGAAGTTCTTTTGTCCTGGTTGCGTATTGTCAATTCCTTTAGCAATATGACTGTATAATGGTAAGGAAATGTCAAATCCATATCGAAACGTCCAAGTATCAAAACCAGACCCTGCTATAATCGCCTTGCTAGTATTAAGTTGGATGACTGTTTCATAATTTGGCGCCCTTCCAGGCAGCATATTAAATAAGAGGTGGTTTTCTCCATTATTCCAGCTTAAAAAAAATTATTACAATAAAAAATATTACTCATTATTTACTCTGAGCATTTACATACTAATTTTATTAGAAACTAATTTCTACCAAATGTTGTCCAAAATATAAAAATAGATAACATTAAGTAAAACAAACTCTATAAAAACAATTTAAATTATAAAATGTTAATAAGTAGTGTTTTACATAAATATTTTGTTTTGCATTAATGTTTTACGACTGTTGCAAATTAAATTCTCTAAAGCATTATGATTTTCATTTTCAAAAAAAAGAAAGTGTAAACAATAAAATTCCTTTTTTTATGGATAAGATAAAAAACATGAACTAATTAACAACAAATTAATAAAAGAGTTAAAGTACAAAGAGATACTCACTGATCAAGAGATTGCAGTGCTTGGGAAACATGTTCACTAGAAAATGTATTCTGGTTCAATGTGTCAATACTGGGCACCAACAAGCAAGCCTCTTCAGGATTTGCTGTATAATACTTGCTATGTCTTATTGTATATAGAATTTCATAAAACTCCTTAGACAACTGTGAGATAAGCTTATCATCTTCTGTTCTATATTCTTTTAGAGGGTATATATATATAGTTATCTTATCGTGACCACCTCTCCCACATTTATATACGTTAAAACAACTCCAATAGGTGCAATTCTCGTTGCGGCCCTCGGAATGTGGTAAACTGCTTTTTATTTTTTTCACTTGTAAACTCACTAAATCCAAACTCACTGGTTCGTAGACCTCGGTCCGTGGTGAACTTCCCGCGTAAATATTAAAAAGCACAGTAAACACTAGAGACACCACTATAAACAATAGTAGGCCAACAAAAAACCTATGGTACAAAATTTTCCTATATGATATATACTTTGAATGCTTGTTCGTTTTTAAAAGCGTCTCCGTAGCCATTTGTGATTTCGACGATTAAATAAGCAATCTTAATTTACATATGGAACCCATTATTATGTACAATCGATTGGCTCTCATTCAAAACTTCTTAAATTTGTAAAACACTACAAAGGTGAAGCTTCACGAGAATTTTGAGTTGTCGCAGTGCTTGACGGACATTTGACAAACTAGGACACATAGTGTTGTCATTAAAAATTAAACTACTGAAATCGATTTACAAAATCGATGTTCCATCTATTTTAGAGCCCTGTGGCATTTTTCGCGACGATGGTAAGAGACCCGACTGTTTAACATTGATCCCTTGGGAGAGAGGCAAAGCCCTTGTTTCTGACGCTACTTGTATAGACACTTTGGCTGCCTCTCATCTAAGGGGTACTTCCGTTAGAGCCGGGGTGGCATCGGAGGCAGCTGAAGTAAGTAGATGGCGCAAATATGAGTCTTTATGTTTAGATTATGTATTTGTGCCATTCGCTATTGAAACTTTAGGGCCGTGGGTACCCGCGCATCAATTTTTTTTAAAAGTTTATGTCCTAGGCTTAACGCTACGGTTGGTGACAAGAGAGCTGGTTCTTTTCTCGCTCAAAGATTAAGCATAACTATTTAGCGAGGAAATGCAGCTAGCACTTGGCACCATGCCGCGTGGATTAGGTTTATTAGATAATATGTAATTTTAGATAGATTTAATCTTGTAATATTAGATCAATAAAGATTGTACGTGTATAGTTATTTAAATAATTAATTTATAATCTCTTGAACTCTATCACGCAGAGGAATACCAAGAACAGTCAACTACATAACTCCCTGACCTAGTTTGACCTTCCGGATACGGCTAGCTGTATGAAAGGACCAAGTTTTGTTTGATACGTTGTGACAGTAATACATTCATTGAAGTTCGCAACGTCGACATCCGCAGTTGATCAAAGCTTACCGATATAGCTCAGAGGATGGGTGAGCTGAAAGGTTAAAACGGGAGCCAATTACTAACTCTCCGCTATCTGTCTTTCTGTCAACAGGCTGTATCTTATAAATCATGATAGGTAGAGAGTTGAAATTTTCGCAGATGATGTATTTCTTTTGCCGCTATATTAATATAATTTTAGGGAAAAAAAATAAATTTATTATGTTAATTTAAAAGTTATCAATAAGCGGTAATTTGTTTGAATAACTAAACAGATTGAAGAGATTAATTTATCATGTTTCTTACACCATTCATTTTGGCAGGAAGAATAATAACTACTGCAGTTTGCACTAAAAAAAATTAAAAGCCAGAGACGTAAACTTTCGTGTTTTTCTGTCAGTTTTGTGTTGTGCGATGTGCGTAGTTGGCGTTTAGTTTCTGATGGCTTAATTAATTTTTATTATTATTTTATTTTTTATATTCCGACCAATTTTTCGGTTTGAGCTTGACCAAGTATGGCACTGTTACCTCCTGACCCAGTTTATACAATTCGCAATGTCGACAATTCGCCGGTGTACTCTTTGGCATTCAGCTTTCTTCCCGGTGGACTCGAGAGGTTACTAGCCGGTTCGAAAAATGGATATGTTTATGCATACAACCTTCAGGTGACATGACGTATTTCAAGCATCGATCCTTTTATTAATTTTTCTTCCCAACTGCGTAGAAAACAAACGTTATGTGTATGAAATACGACGCAAACAATTAGTTGCATTATTACGTGTTTTCTTTGTTTACTACCCTCATTTGTTGACCCAAAAAAGTCTGTCGATTGCTGTCAGCGTTCCAAATAAATAATTTATTAATGTTTTGGTAAAAATTATTTGTAATTGGTATGTGTAAAACGAGTTTTGGATATATATATCTGTAAGCGACCGCCGAATTCTACTTGTTGATAAATTCATTAGTGATTTTTCTCTATCGTTTAATATTTATTTTTATTGAATTACGCCAGAGTTAAAGTTATTTACATTTACCTTTCTTTGAATTGTATTTATTATTACGAAATTATATACAAAAAGAAATTGTTTTTTTTTTACATAAATTTATTAAATTTCAGACGAATCGCGTCCAGCAAAAAATCAAAGTTGGTCAAGCTCCCATCCTTCATCTTCTACACACCAACAGTCACCTTATAACCCAAGAAAAAGGAGGTAAATTCAAAATTTTCAACCTTACTAATACAGGATACAAGGAAGAGCATTTAATAAACTTAGACTACCCTGGTTTTTGTCGCTTTGAAGCCAACACAAAACTCGAAACACTCTATGTACCTGATAAGGAGTCCTGCATTGCCATTTATAATTTTTACGGAGAAAAAACAGGTTCCCTTAAACCTGAAAATGCTTCACCTAAACTCGGTGATCCGATGTGCATGAAGTATATTGAGTTTCCTTGTGATAAGGCATGCCTCTTAGTAGGTTATGAAGCAGGATGGTTATACTTGTGGGATCTAAACACTAGTCAATATATCAGCCAGCTTCAGACTAAGGAATGTCCAATGTCAGTGGACTTTCATGTCGAACAACAAAAAGGAATTGTAGGAAATGTATCTGACATAGTGCAGATATTTACTATAGGGAGAAAAGACTTAAGCATGGCCCATAAGATGGATATCACTATCAAAAACCCAGGCATAAATAAAGTACAATCAAGGATGGATGGGAAAGTGTTTGTATCGGGAGGTTGGGATGGTCATGTCCGTATCTTCTCCTGGTTTTCCTTGCGCCCATTGGTTGTGTTGACAGAGCATAGGCAAGCTGTGCAGGATGTTGTTTACTCTACCCAAAAAGTTTCTCTTTGGAATGCTAACATTATGGCAGCTGGGGGTCTTGATGGTGCTATAACACTTTGGGATTTATACAACCATAAACAATAAATTTATTGAACCCTCTGTGATTTTTAAGATTAATAATGAAAATGTGATGGAAAGGTATAGATTTGTTTGAGAACTGTTTTCTGTTTCTGAGCAAAGCAAAAATCACTAAACATTGGGCAAGTTATAACATTTTTATTGCAATATAATCTACTAAACCAGTGAAATAATGATCAGTTTTGTTTGTGTATTATAAAGATGTACCTACTTTTTCAAGCATAGCTTTTGTTTCACATTGGCTCTTAATATATGGTATTTCATTGCATTTACAGCAAACTGTGTAATTAAAAAATTTAAATGTTAGGAGCTACAATGTTTATGCAACTATGCCAGTTGGATTTAGTTAAATAGTGTTCCGATAAATTTTTGAATCAAACAATTTTTTAAAAACACTATCAAGTTGTTATGATGATGAATGATAATTGTTGAATAAACTTGCCAGAACTACCATTTTACACGTTGTTATTTGGAGGATCACTTAAAATGTGAAAACATCTAGTGGCGCTTTAATTATTTAGATCTTTAAATTTTATTTAGTGGAAATATGAATTATTCTATTGGATCTCAGTATTGTAAAAGTATACCAAACTAGAGGCAAATCACATCCACTTAGTGCGGTCAAACTCTTAAACCTAAGAAAAAATGTTGTTAAATATGAAATGACTATTTTCTGTGAATGATGTTTAGCTATGTTTCTTGAGGACATTAAAGCTTTTAAATTCAATGGCTATTTTCTTTCATCTCCAATATTTGATGATTCACAAATAGTGATCTCATTATTTGTTAAGTAACATATTTTGTAGCAATTTACAATGCTTCCACCTTCAATAGCAACTGTACTGTTCTTTCAATGAGAATGTTTTCACAGCTGGAGAAAAGACTTCTTGTTTGTCTGATGCCATTGTTTAAGTTATTCATTCATTGTAGAAGGGAATGAGTTTTAAATGTTAATTTTGCGATATTTAATTAGGATTATTGTTATTAATTTTCATTTTCTAATGTACAGCCACATAAATAAAATAAATTATCATTAATAAGAAGGCTATAAATATAAATTATTACAACTAAAGACTTTTGGAACTGTATAATATTTGTATCTTTATCTAATTATTAAAAATTTTACTAAAATATTATAACTGCATCTGTATTAAATATAAGAAAAAAAAGACAGTAAGGCCTATTAAGATATTATTTATTTTTACATCGAATTACAATTATGTCGCTAATATCACATTTACAGTGCTCTCTAATCCATTAAATATAAAGGACACTAATAAGAAATGTTAACCTTAAAACTAGGACTAGCCATTGACAGTATAATGAACTCGGTTCTGTTTATCATGCGATTGTGATATGTATCCGTGTTACCAGCGGCGTCGCTAAGTTGACCGGGAAGGCGACAAGTTCGTCGCACCTAAAAACTGGTAGGAGAAAAATTTTTAAGTCTTCCCCAAACATACATGATTTCTTAGAGGTGTGTGTAACGAATAGAAATATATTGGTGGATTGTTCATTGTATTTAACTCGAAAAGTGGGAGTACATCCATCCCATACCCAACAGAAATCTTTATAAAACACTAACGCCCAGCTTCTGAAACACTGATCATCGTAGATGTCAACTAATCAGCTGTCAAATGGCTTTTCAATTGTTATTTGAGTAGCCAAAAGGATAGTTAAACTTTTTGAATTCATCATTTATGATTCATCATTCATTCGATGATCAGTGTTTCAGAAACCGGGCGTAAGTGTCGTTACATCTGGAGTGGTCCGCCACTACGCAGCGACGCCGCCGTTTGTTGCTTATCCACACATCCCACTCCTCACACCTCCACGGTCTTCCTCGTTTTGGGGATGAGGGGCTCGTCGTCCGGCGGCACTTCCACCAGCCTCCGCCTCTTCCGCAGCGGCCGACTGGACTCCGCCTCGCGGGCCTTGGCGCTCGCTTTGCCCCTCGCGAGGCGCGTTATCTTGAACTTGGGCAGGGCCTGTTCGGGGCTGCCGTCTGCCTCGCGGCTCTTCGGCTCGTTGAGGGTCCTTGGCTCCCCGAGGGTCCTTGGCTCCACTAGGGTCCTTGGCTCCCCGAGGGTCCTTGGCTCCACTAGGGTCCTTGGCTCCTCGAGGGTCCTTGGCTCCCCTAGGGTACTTGGCTCCTCGAGGGTCCTTGGCTCCCCGAGGCTCCTCGGCTCCTCGAGGGTCTTCGCAGTCTCGATGCTCGGGGCTGGTTTGGCCTCGTCCCGCTTTCTGTCCGTCATGGTGAAGTCGAGCGGCTCCGTCTCCTCGCCGCTTGGCTCCGGCCGCAGGCGGTGGGCGCGCGCGAACGCGCTCATCGGCATCGGTATCGGAATCGGCAGCGGTATCGGCAGCAGCACTGGATACGGCACCAGCACCGTAACGGGCGGGGGCTGGCTTAATGGCGGGAAGGGGGGGATGTCCGGGGCAGCGGGCCGCTGGAAGCCGACCCCCGGGAACGTTTGGGGATCCCCCGAAAGCCCGTTAAGCGACGCGAACGGCGTGGGATCCCCCGAAAGGCCATTCAGCGGCGCGAACGGACGGGGATCCCCCGAATGCCCGTTTAGCGGCGCGAACGGACGGGGATCCCCCGAACGATCGTTCAATACCCCGTAGTGGGGGAAGGGTTGCGATCCCTCGACTGAGGGGCTCCTCAACCTCAAGTCCTGCGCTTTAGGGGTGCCGCTCCTCAGACTCTGCGAGGTGACCGTCGCCGAACACTTTGAGGCCCTGCGTTTCCTCGCGGTCCTGGTCGCCCTCTCCTTTCTGGTCTCTGGTGACCTTTGCATCGGCTTCTCCTCTCTTCTCTCCTCTGTCTTGGGCCGCATCAGCTTGGCGGCCGGCGCGACGGTTATCAGCGGCAGCGGCGCAGCGGTCTGAATGAATGAATGATTAATTTTATTGGCCATCACACATGAGAGGACACCAAGTGAATAAGAAAAAAATTAAATTATGGAATGCACAATTTGGCGGTCTTTTCGCTTCATAGTGATCTCTTCCAGGTGTAGTCGTAGTGACGCAATAGTAATATATTATATAATAATTGACTAAATCTAAACATACGAAATAAATACATATATACACATACACGCTCATGACTCCGTGGCGCAGTTGCCAAAGTGTTGGCTTCGGCGTCGGGAGTCGTGGGTTGGATTCCCACACGGGACAACTATTTGTGTGGCTCACAAATAGTTATTTCGCATCTGGGTGTTTTTCCGCGTGAAATTTATGTTTGTAAAATGTCCTTACAACACAGGTTAATGTTATCCTAAAGGACAATGTTTTAAAATAGGAAAAAAAAACAAAATACATATTTATATAAATACATTCACACATGAATATATACATCTATATCATATGCAGCGTGTCGTTACCACCGCGACAATAAATTAACACACATATAGAGGATAACTTTTTAAAATGGTATTAAACATTTACATTCTTCAAACATCAATATTTACCGAGTTATTAAATTTTACAAAACAAACAATTTTAGGACACCCTTACGTATAAAACTGTAACGTAAAGTTCATTTGTAAAGGTCACAAAGCATATGAATGGGTTGAATGAATTTAAAAGAAACAAAACATACTGTTAGAATGAGAGGCTTGTAATGCGACGCTGTGGCGCGAGTTGTATAGGATGTTACAAATTTTGTTTTTTTTTTACTTAATTACTTTGTTTGAAAATTTTTTTTTTTAATTATGGATTTTCTTTAACGTTAATATTTTTTTATGATTATTGGCAAGTAGCGTTAGACGTGTGTTCATTTATTGTCGCGATGGTAACTACACGCTGTATAGATAAAATTCTCGTGTCACAAAGTTGGTTGCACTACTTCGAAAATGCCTGATCGATATTTATAAAATTTTAATATATATATATATAGTTGAAAAAGGTCGTTTATGGTCGTATCAAATCAAGTCAAAATCATGTGTTCCTTAATGAAGTCTCCTAGTGTAAGATAAATTTATCGGCTGGATTGAGTAAGTATTCGATAGATGGGTATCCGGTAGATCCTAAAGGGCAATGTTATTAAAAGAAAGAGAAAAAAAAGATATGGTGCTATGCTAAAAGTAGAATGAAAAAACGTATGGACCCGGTAGAATTGGCGCAGACGAAGTCGCGCGGGCCAGCTAGTATATATATAAATGTATACCTGCTCGCTCTTCGGCGACTCCGAGTGTTCGGAAACCGGGGACGCGGATCCGCTCTTGCAGTTCCTCAGCCAGAGCTCCGGCGTGATGAGGCTCGAGGTGGTGGACGCGTTGGCCAGGTGCGGGTTGAGATCCAGGTGCGCCTGCGTCTCGCGGCAGAAGATGTGCATCTTGTACTGGTTGAGGCACTTGTCCGAGCAGAACTGCAGCTGGGTGGCGCCGTCCTGCAAGCCACGCGTATCCTCTTAGGGAAGCCGGGGGATTTTGAAATTTCAAATGTTGATGTTGTAGAAAGTGATATTTCGTGTAGAATTTCCTTCCTGTTTTAACCGAGCCGTTAATTGTTAGATACCAATTACTTTTGTCTTTCTACACTGATTGGAAACATGAACTATTTGCATATGAATTGATGAAGCAAAACAATACGGTGGTAGGGCCACGCGGCAGCTTCGGCTGTTGCACGAACGGGCTGGCTCGTCCGGGTAAGCATGGGCTCACAGAAGACCGGCGTAAAGTGGAAGTATAATAATTTCGCGTTTCGTCTGGTGTGTCAGGTGGCCGGAGCACAATTTTCAAAAGATTGCCAACGCATCTGCAGCCCAGGTTGTAGCAGATGTCCATGGGCGGCGGTATTCACTTAACATCAGGTGAACCGTCTGCTCGTTTGGCAACTTTTCACATAAAAAAAGGAAAGGCATCAAAGAAAAATAGCTCCAGAGGAACAAAACAATCCGTCCCTAGTTATAATTTGAATGTGAGAATTTGATACAAGGTTAATTTAATATTTCTCAATACAAGGGCAAAGTACATTAGTAAGATGAATAAGGAATGGGTTGCGAATATAATTTGCGATGTACAAATTCAAATTTGGGACACCCCAGGTATTAGGTTAAATATAGTAATATTCCAAAATTTATCGATGTCACTTATAAAACAATTGACGGCCCCTTAGGCACAGTTACTAAGTTAGCTTCCAAAGTCGCAGGTACGATTTCCACATGGGGACTAGTGTTCGTCTTACCCACGAAACTGTTTCGAATTTGGTTGTTTTTCCCGGTGAAGTTAGTGTTTGTAAAACGTCCATACAACATTGTGTCGTCATTGTACAATAATTGCTGTACTTATATATAGGGTCACAATTTTATCTAGTCACAATCTAAGCCGTGATAGCTCAGTGTCCGGGCGCTCGCCTTTAATTCAATATACTCGAGCAACCTGAGTTCGATCCCCGGTGCCGGCACCAATGAAGTTTTTAACTTTAAGTGCTGTCTTATCACGTGCTCCGCGGTGAAGGAAAACATCGTAAGGAAACCTGAATATTTTCGAAATAATAACAAAAAAAAATATTTCAAAGATATGTGAAGTCCGCCAATCCGCAGTGGGGCCGCGTGGTGGACTATGCCCCGATACCCTCTATATAGAGGAGGCCTTTGCCCAGCAGTGGGACATGTAGAGGCTGTTACTTTACTTTACAAACTAAGCACAGCTTGTACTATGGCCACTAGGTAAATAAACATACTTAAACGTAATTTTCTTTTGTCGATAAATATACATTAGACATACAAACACCTACACCTTGAAAACACTATGTTCATCATCACACAGTATTTTTCGAATACTGGGGTTCGAAATGAAATCCTACGCCAAGCGGGTGACCTTTATACACAAAAAATTATATATCTTCTTTCTCCTGCCCTTATCCTCGGCACAACATATCCCTTCTTTCTACTTTTTTTTTTTATGGAGAAAAGGGGCAAACGAGCAGGAGGCTCACCTGATGGTAAGTGATTACCGCCGCCCATGGACACCTGCAACACCCTCTATCAGCCGTCATCTCGATACGGTAAGTACTTCCTTTCACAGACATATTCTTCACACAGTCCATCCTAATCTTTCTCGCTTTTCCTCTATCTTTACACCTCCCAACCACAATCATACTAATATCAACCTTCTAGTCACAAGACTTTCATCCCTTCTCATGACGTGCCCGTACCATGTCAGCATACATTCCGTTTCAGGTCCGTCCGAGTAAGTACCGCGACCTCACGGAGGAACAGCGTGAACTGGAAGTGTTATACTTCTGCGTTTCGTCTGGTGACTGAATTAGCCGGTTCCCACAATATTATAAAGGGGCACGGTCTGCAACCCTACGGGTGTTGCAAACGTCCACGGGCAGCGGCTATTATTAACATCAGGTGAACCGCCAGCTCGCTAGCCACCTACTCAGATAAAAGAAGCCCTCACCTGGAAATCGACATAGGCTACAGTGTGGCGCACGTGGCGACACCAGTCGCAGGTCTTCGCGCGCTTGAAGTTCGCCCGCCGCGACTGGCTGAAGCACAGCTCGGAGCAGAACGCGGAGCCGGCCTGCTGCAGAGCACCCCCCTCGCCGGTTATACTCTTCCCGCACCAAGAGCATTCGTCTGCGAATGAATGAATGGAAGACGTTAGTTGATGCCATATTCGCAGACAACACACCCAAAACTATCTTTACCCATAACGAATTGATGGTCCAAGGTAGCTGCATCAAGTACAAAAGTAACTTTGAGGTCTTTATTATATGGTATTTATATATCGCCTTGCTGGACGATATGAAAATAAAACTACACAGAGCTGGCTGCCAACCTCCACTGGTTTGAAAGGCACTTTTAGAAGTAGATGAAGATTTTATGGAGTAGGTGGTAAGCGAGACAAGCACTCCAAGGGAGTTGCAAAACTTAGGCTTCTGAGACAAGCAGCGACTCTGTTCTTGAAGGTCTAGGTCGTATTGGTCCGGAAGTTGGCAACAACCGATTTCTCAAAGCGGTCGACGACATTCGAGATTCCTCAAGGCGAGAATGTAGAGTATTTTCTTAGTTTAGTACGCCGTAGTAACTACGAAATGTGATCAATTCAGTTACGAATTGTCAAATCTTCCAATGGAACATATTTTGTACGTACGAGTATCTACTGACAGAAATTAAGCTACTATAGTCTACGTTAGTATTTTACCTCTCAGTTGGGTTGGTAATAAAATAAATAGACCGTACGGCTTCGTGAGATCTGATCCTATTGACGTGAGTCCAACACCTTTCACGGATGACTGGTAGACGGAGGCAATTGAGCAGTTAATTAATTTAAATGTTCAATTCACGCGTATGATTGATGTTTAGTTGCAGCTGACTATAATAGTGTTATGTATCTACATTGTTGAACCTTAGAGCGAGAGGTATAGAAATATAAATAGACGCCGAACACGTGTCATCGTATTTTTATGTACAACTACCACGACGCATTTAGAAATCCGTTGCAGACGGGATCAAATACACCTAAGTGAGACGGTTCACCTAATGTTAAGTGATTACCGTCGCCCGTGGACATAAACAACAAAAGCCTTAGGGTTGCAGATATGTTGCCACTTTTTATTAAAGTGGGTCCCGGTTATCTCAGCCACCAAAGAAAACGACATTGCCACCTCTGTGAGGTCGTACTAGTGTCAATTCTTGCAACATCGACTGCTGGTTTTACATGGAAGATCTACAACAACCCAGCCTATATTTTTAGCAATCGACAAACTTAGTTGGTATCAGATGATACATGTTATCTATCTATGGAAGTCAAGTCAACAATGTTCTCCATTCATGATATGCAGGCATTAATTTACTAATAAGATTTTACTAGTTTTTCGTGTAAAAAAAAGGATTGAATGTCCTATTGATTGAATGTTTTTGGTTTATCGATCCTAAGGACCCTAACGCAAGCGAGGCCCCTAGGATTTCCTTTTTTTTTATTTCCCGTAAGAACTTTCCATAGTCCCCTAACGTCACAGTATAGGATTGTTAAATAAACCTGTTTTACTCCTGTAAAGTCTAAGTTTATACTTTAATCCTTGTATTAAACTACCACTTTATAGAATTTAATTATATACCATAGTATTCGCAAAAATATAATAATTATGGTTTTAGTGTTTTACATTTACGGGTTTGCTAGTATTGTTATTCCGATTTCTAACCCGTTTAATAAATCAGTACCCGGAGGACCGAGCTTTGCTCGGTTTGTTTTTTTTTTTTTTTGGTAAATCGTGTATTTTGGAAATTACATTTAGATACAAATTATTGAGTAATGAAATATGCATAATATTTTTCGATCTTACCGAGGTAATAATAAGAAAATATGAACTGATGTTTTTCACAAAAGAAAGAACTTTAAAAAAAAGGGAAAAACATAACAAAATAACAAATGGACAAAAAATTAAAAATGAAGAAAGCAATGATCTGGAATCGAAAAAAAGTAAAAAAATAAATGTGTAAATGATCGTGACGCGAACCACGGCCGTCTGTTTTGGGGCCGCCCGATTACCGACCGAGTTATTATGACATTTTCTCTTGCGGCGAAATTTACCGTCATATTCGAACTATATTTTTCATTCCCTGAAAACAGGGATAAAAGGGCATTTTCTAAAAATGAAACCTAGCTAGATCCATTTTTTGCCCCCGAGTCTACGCACATACTAAATTTCATGAAAATCTCTGGAGCCATTTCCGAGATTCCGATTATATATATATATATACAAGAATTGCTCGTTTAAAGGAGTAGGAGAGGAATTATGTTTTTAAATTCTCAACATTTAAACATCGCAACATCCATGATAACGAGAAGGAGGTTAAGGATGATGGTGTAGTTGCCAAGGTAGGTCTTCAGCGCGGTGGGTCGTGGGTTCGATTCGCAAACGAGACAACTATTTGTGTGATACACAGCTAAGTGTTTAGGCTCTGGGAGTTTGTCCATGTGAAATTTATATACATATTTAAAACAACCTTACAACACTGCTTACTTTATACGGTGGTAGGGCCACGCAGCAGCCTCGGGCACGCGGCCTGTTGCACGAATGGGCGGGCTCGTCCGGGTGAGTACCACGACCTCACAGAAGACCGTCGTCAAGTGGAAGTATAATACTTTCGCCTTTCGTCTGGTGACTGAGGTGACCGGAGCCCAATTTTCAAAAGGTTGTCAGCGCATCTGGAACCCTCGGGTGTGGCAGATGTCCATGGGCGGCGGTAATCACTTAACATCAGGTGAACCGTCTGCCCGCTTGGCAAGTTTTCACATAAAAAAAACTGCTAATTAAACACGGATAATGATATCCTACAGGTAAGGGGACATTTTTTTTGAAGGGAAGACTACAATAAATAAAAATCTTTCTATGGCGCGGTGGTAGTTCCCCCTTCCACACAAAATATAAATACAAAAGGAGAAGGATTATTGACCATTCATAAGTAAATAAAAAAAATTGAATCAAATGGATTTGATGTTACAACGGTGATAATTTACTGGTTTAAAACAAAGGAGGAAACAAAGGATTTTAATGCATGAAAAATATTAATATTTTTCATGCATTAAAATCCCGCCCTTTAGGAATCACGTTGGCAAAACAAAAGCTAGTGTTGATAGTTCTACGGAGTTTAGTCATTGCAAAAGTGAAACCGTTGTGGAGCAAAGAAGCACCAGCAATTATATTTTTTATTCCATCGTATCGTTAAATTATTTGCAAGTTGATAGCGGTAATACGATGCCGCGTCTCATTACTGTGGACAGTTTGTTTTTCCGAAGCGCTTATGTCCCGCTGTGGGGGACTTATTAATTCCTCCCGTTGGGCACTAACGAGTCGGTATCGAGTTAGGCGGGACATCCGAGATTCCGTTACGTTTTTTAGAATACGTTCGCTTTGTAACTGCCTTTGGCCTATGTTTTCGATGTCTGGTGAAGACTCCAATTTCGGACATAGAGTAACAGGATGGCTACAAACTTCATTGGTGTGTTCGTCCCTACACGCACGTATACATGTGTGCCTTGTTAGTTCCGTTGTCGGCTAACAATTTCCAATAATGATCCGGAACATCTCTGTTCATTACACAAATTTGGGAACCGCCGAATCCAATAGCTTAGCGGCTAACCCTACGTAGCCCTAAGGGCGTTGGAAATGTCCATGGGCGTTGGTTATCACTTAACATCAGGTGAACGGCCAGCTCCCTTAACATCTTCTCACATAAATAAGGCGAAGTTCTTTAGATTCGAGGACCAAAAAGTTGTGTAGCAACTCCTCGGGGGCTTAGCCCATATCCTTACTAATATTATAAAGGCGAAAGTTTGTATGTATGGATGGATGTTTGTTACTCTTTCACGCAAATACTACAGAATGGATTTTGTTGAAATTTTAGAATAATATAGCTTATACATCAGAATAAGACATAGGCTATAATTTATATAAATATTTTAATTATATCTGTCTTTTTGTCTGAATGTTACGCCTTCAGCCTATTCTACGCAGACGTAGTCGCGGGCAGCAACTAGTTGTTTTATATATAAGCGTAAAAGGAAATATGAGTAGGAGTGCAGCAGTGTTGTTGTAGTGTATCGTCATAATAAACAGAGTCGCGGACTGGATTTTCAGTAGCGTGCAACAATTAGATCTTTTAGACCTTTATTTCGGGCGCCTTTTATTTATTTATTTAATTTTTTTTTTATTTAATCTTTTAATTTATGCAAAGACTGGTACAAAGACGGACATAATGCCAATGGTATTTTCTACCAATCAATCTTAGGGTTGTGTAGAAAGTGATATTTCGTGTAGAATTTCCTTCCTGTTTTAACAAAGCCGTTAAGTGTTAGATACTAATTACTTTTGTCCTTCTACACTGATTGGAAACATGAACTATTTGCATATGAATTGATAAAGCAAAACAATAGAACATCCTTTGAGGTAACACCACCGATCTTGTAACACGTTAGTTAATGCCATAACAAAATTCGCCAAAACCCCGTGCTCATACACAAAGCGCGAAATTTACGAACACGATACCACAGCACGGGTTTACTATTTCTAATGAGAGAGAATACGCTTCGTAAAGCGCACGAGCGCTCCGCACAATATCAGAGCTCACGTAGACAATGAGAACGTATAGCGTAGCGTTTTAAATGCGAATTATTAGAAACGCTTCGTGTTACACGATCGCGTTACATAGAACTCTCCAGAAATTACCGTAGCTCATATACTTGCCACGGAAGTTTTCCTGGAAAACCCGTAGGCGCGCAATCGAGAACCCGTTCAATTTAAAATAATGAGCTATTAATATTGTATCATTTTTCAGTCTCAAAAAGAGACTATACATTTTAGATACAAAAAACTAATTCAAAACGAGGTGTGGTGGAGATATTAAAGAAAAGGGAAATGAAAAAATAATCATCCAATATCGTATCCATATTTAAATCACCCCCGGTAGAATATTTCAATGCCACACATTACAAAATTGAATACCGGGAAATGTTATAATCCAAAAAAGCTTACCAAGTTAACTTACCCCGATATAACCTAAACGACTTGATTAGATCACAATCTTTCAATTTCCCGCGGTAAACGAAAAGCGCGGTGGGGTACGTTTAGAAATTCAGAGAAATAGGTACAGCTGCAACGTGGGAATGGGGCATGTTTCTTAGTATTTATTGGCCACGCTTCTACGAATTGTTACATTTGGTTTTTAGAGTATCGTTAGTGTTGAATGGAAATTTATGACGTGAAATAAAAATACGGCATGACTGTGAGCTTTCTTTATTTTCGATTTATTATTAAATCCGTTCTATTTCACGCGCGCGATGGTACATGTATTAAAATTATACGGGCAGATAATAAATAATTGTAATACAGAATATAAATAAACTCAGATCAAGATCCTTAAAATAAACTGGTTAAATAAATATGTCGATTATGGCGAATTGCTCAATGAGAGCACGATACATCACACGTAAAGCTTTTCTTCATAATAAATTATGTATAGACGATGTTTGTATCCACTCTTGTATTCTCCAATTTGAATGATTTTCTGATATAAAAATAGATTATACCGCCTATTTTATTTAATAATAATAATAATATAATAATAAATCTTTATTTCAGACCAGGGTCCATATTTGGTTAGTACAAAACAAAATGAAAAAATCAATAAAGGGAAAATAAATTAAAAATAAATCAAAATAAATTAAAATTAACTAAAATTAAAAAATAAATCAAAAGAAATTAAAATTAATATAATTAAGACTAAGATTAACTAACATTAAATACACACACGCTTGTTAGCATATGTGTGTGCACCATTCCAACTCCTCCAGAGTGGGCTGTCGAGTTTGCACGCCAAAGTGCTGAGAAGGGCATTGGAGCTGTTCACTAACCGGCTCATCATGGATGCAACACGTTTCCGGAAGATCGCGTAGAAGTCGTCTACACGAGCCTCCGCAAACATTGCAGATGCACTGCAGTGACGCGGCTTCCCCAATACCGCTCTCAGCACATTGTTGTACTGCACACGAAGAGTTCTGAAGGTCCGCTGCGTGTAGTCCGCCCACAGACTGCACGTGTAAAAGGTTTGGCAGTAGGCTCTAAACAGCGTTAATTTTACCTCTGAATTACAACGCGCAAATCTGCGGGCCAACATATTGCCCCGGACCGACAGCGCCCTTCGCTCCCTCTCTATATCACCGTCGTCCACGAGGCGCTCGTTAACTATATGGCCGAGATACTTGAACTCCGCCACCTGTTTCAGGGGAATACCACACAATCGTATGATTGGCTGAAAATTGGTGGCTTTGTTTTTTTCCCCTGAACACAAGGAACTCGCTCTTTTTGGCGTTGTATCTGAGTCCATTTCTCTCAGCATAGTCCTCACAGATTTTAAGTAGCTTCCGGAGGCCACTGACCGAAGGACTAAGCAGAACCATGTCATCCGCGTAGCTGATGTTGTTTATAAAGACACCATCAACTGAGCATCCGACACCAGCTCTGCTCAGCCCCTCTATCAGCTGGTTGACAAAAGTGTTGAACAGCCTCGGTGACGTAAGCCCACCCTGCCTCACTCCACAGTTCAGCTTGTAGGGGTCACTCATAGCGTCTCCCCATTTTACGACATTTGACTGGTTACCGTACCAGTACTGCAACAACGATAACAGCTCCGGCCTTAGGCTCGTTTCCGTCCTAAGTTTATGCCATAGTACTTTATACGATACAAGGTCAAATGCTTTTGACAGGTCCAAGAAGCACGCATACACTTGCGTTTTTCTGTCAGTGTAGTACCGTACAGTCTGCTTGAGACACATTATTGCGCTCTCGGTAGACAATTCGGGCTGAAAGCCGAATTGAGCGTCGTTAATTTTAGTAGCTTTCTTTAAATGTATTTCAAGCAGACTGTCCAGAACTTTAGCTACGATTGTCGCTAGGGATATAGGCCTGTAGTTGGACCTATCCGCTACATCGCCCGTCCTGTTCTTCACTATAGGCACGACCACCGTCATCATCATTGCATCCGGCAGGTGACCATGACTGACACAGAGGTTATAGAGCATGGTAAGGACTCTGGAAAGGTGCACTCCAGCATATCGCAAGTGTTCGACACTCAGGCCATCATGCCCCGGGGATCTCCCCCGCTTCATACTCCTTATTGCGTCATTCACCTCACAAACAGAGAAGCTCAATGAGTCTACCCAAGGGTCTACGGTGTCCCGAGCACCGTCCACTGTTTGACCTACTATACTTAGGGGTTCCTCCCTGAAGTGAGTCCTAAACATATTGGCAATGTTCTGACTCCCTGTTATGCCTCCCACTTCCACAGGAAGGCCCGCCCGTGCATTCAGTCTATTTGTTTGTTGCCAGAACCTACTAAACTGCTTAGTCTCGTGTGTAGAGGCTAAAATGTCCATTTTTATTTGATCTTCATGGTCCTGGCACCATTTTAGTTTATTTTTGAAAAGCCTACGAGACTCCCGCATATCGTCGTATGTAACTCCACTACTCGGCCTCCCAGCCATAACCCACGACTGAAAACACAGACGAGCTCTCCCGTGTAGTGGCCTTACATGCCTATTCCACCCCGTAACATAACCTTTTTTATTTTTCCTTACAATTTTATGACTAGCTATTGCCCCTGACTGCAATATGCTTACAATATGAGAGTACATATTATCGATAACTAGTTTATGTTCATCATTACAACAGGTTTTGCCACAACATTTCGTAAGCTCCATAGGAAAAAGTACTTTACTTAGCTTCTCATCACAAGTTTTCGTAAATAGCTTAGTCTGGTCACTATCCCTCTGCCCCCAAAATATCTTATTATTAGAAACTCGAGATGATGATACAAACTGAGTATGTAAGGGGTTTAGGTTACAAAAAATTTCCAAAGGATAGTGATCAGACCACGAGACACTGTTATTTACGGTTATATTCTCAATGTAACCCCTAGCCATCCTAGTTACCAAACAATGGTCAAGCCAACGTGTGCATCCGTGAACATCACTAATGTAAGTATACGTCTCCCCATTGTTTGACAAAAGTTCAAAGTCCGCACAACACCATTTTTGTTCAACACAAAATTGCTGCATTTCATTAAAAAATAGTTCACCTGGTTGAGCATTGAAGTCTCCTAATACAAATACCATACTAATACCACTGTCCTCAACAACCGCATTAATCTCGCTCAAACAGTCTGTGAATTCTGGCAAGTTGTCAGTACAGTCAGTAGGCATGTATACCGAGAATATCAACAGATCACTTTCACGCAATTTACACTTTATAGCACAGAGCCTCGCATTATTGCACTTCACAACAGATACCGCCGTAAACACACTCTTACGCCATAACAGCGCGACGCCCCCGTAGGGACGGCCGCGTAACATGCCTGCACTCATATCTACCGCTGACGTCCCTGTGGCTGCAAACTCGTCATTAACAGTACTTAGGTAGGCCAAATCATGCGGTAGCAACCAAGTTTCCTGCAGCGCAACCACATCCGCCGCCACACAAATACTTCTCACACTATCTATTGATCGCTTTAGTGACTTACAGTTAAAGCTAGTTAGCTTTAATTTATAATTATTCTCACTAATTGACTTCTGATCCATCATTTTTATTATTTTTATTATTTTTCCTCGTATCCCGTTCTGTAGGTGCCGTTCCGTTATTTGAGCAACAAATAGGTATAATACGAAACGATGAAGTAAATCCTCCTCTTGTCTTTAACTATTGTAACAGACATCTTTAATCTGTGCTGTCAATACACAAACCACAACCAACTCAATTATTTGTAGGCGCAAACTGGTGGATCTTTGGAAATCGGCGTTGTATATTCTAGCGTACGTTCCGTGTAGATGTTGACCATACCTTTGCCCTTCTGGTCAGCGGCCTGTTCGGGGCTGGAATTGTCTCTAGCCCTGGAGGCAGCCCAGCGCCGCAGCTCCAGCCGCTCGTAACCGTACCAACCGAGCAGCTCGTTCATCGCTGTCTCCGCGAAGTCCTGGAACAGTTCAAGGATCGTTAAGTAGACAGATACGTAAAAATGTGTAGATAAAACTGCCGCAGTGTCAGGATCCGAGCCTGCATCTTTGATGACTCCGTAGCGCAGTTGCTGGTTCTCGAGTTTTACAGGAGATTCTCTTTTATAAATATTTTTTTTGTTTTATGAGTCCGTGGCGCCGTTGCCAAGGTATTGGCTTCGGCGTCGGGGGTCGTGGGTTCGATTCCCACACGGGACAACTATTTGTGTGATCGACAGACAGTTGTTTCGCATCTGTGTGTTTGTTCGCGTGAAATTTATGTACGTAAAACGTCCTTACAACACAGGATAATGTTATCCTACAGTAAGGGCAATGTTTTTAAAAAGAAAGAATAAAAAAAATCTTAACATTACGCGCCAGACGCTTTAAGCACTAAGCTAGTGGTAGACATCCTCAGCGCGCAAAATCATCGACGTCACATCTACTTTGTCTTTTTAGAAATTTTTATTTTTACTTTACTAATCTCTGCATTTAAGATTAAACATTTTCGTCGGTACGGCAATCAGCTGTTTAGCTTAGTGGCTAAAGTGTCAGGGCGCGAATCCCGAAGACGTGGGTTCGATTCCCACACCGGCGAAAAACTGTTCGTATTTTTTTCTACATATTGTAATACTTTGTCTTAATTGAATTTGTAGTAATGCTTGGCGTTATCGTATGAGAAATTGATTCGTTATCGAATGATTATGAGAAAGTGATTCCTTTACAGCAATCACTTTCTCAAATTACATAACTGTATTTTGAAAACTAGAAATATCGCCTTTGCCATTGAAATTTAATTTTTACGTTTGATCTTAAGTGCAAAGATTAGCATTAAGATTTTAAAATTTCATCAGTAACTAGAGTTAACACGTGTTCGTGTGACTGTATGTTTCATCACTGGGCAATGGCCGTGAAAACATTTTGTTTTAAAATCCCTTTAGAGCAGGATGCATCAGTATTCCGTGGTTTATTTCTTCACAGCCGAGCAAGTGATACGTGGGCACCCTCGAATAACCTAACTTCCCGGGTTTGAAACTCAAGTTGTTGGAGACACTGGACTAACGCCCGGTTTCTGAAACACTGATTCGTCGTAGAAGTTAAATAATCAGCTGCCGAATGGCTTTTCAAATGTTATAAGAATTTCCAAAATGATGGTCAAACTCTCTGAATTGATCAGAATGATCTGCATAATGGTCAGAATGATCAACTCAAAGAGTTTAACCATCTTTTTGCCAACTTAAATGATATTTGACAGCTGATTAGTTAACTTCTACGATGAGCAGTGTTTCAGAAACCGAGCGTAAAAGAGCGCAACTAACGGTTCTGTTGTAAGTATGTAGATACATTAAAACAACTAACTTTTTTTATGTGAAAAAGTGGCAAACGGTGGTAGGGCCACGCAGCAGCCTCGGCTGTTGCACGAACGGGCAGGCCTGACCGGGTAAGTACCACGACCTCACAAAAGACCGGCGTAAAGTGGAAGTATGACAAATACTTTCGCGTTTCGTCTGGTGAGTGAGGTAGCCGGAGCCCAATTTTCAAAAGGTTGTCAACGCATATGTAACCCTCGGGTGTAGCAGATGTCCATGGGCGGCGGTATTCACTTAACATCAGGTGACCCGTATGCTCGTTTGGCAACTTTTGGCATTAAAAAAAAAAAAAGCGGAGCTGGTGGTTCCCCTGATGTTAAGTGATAGCCGTCGCCCACGGACCTTTGCAACACCGGTGGCAGATGTTTTGCCACCTTTTAATAAGGTGGGCCCCGGCTACCTCAGTCACCAGACGAAACGCAGAAGTGTACTTCTACTTTCACTTCTACTTTTCGCCGGTCTTCTGTGAGGTCGTGGCACTAACCCGGACGGACCTGCCCATTCGTGCCACAGCGAATACTGTTGCGTGGTCCTACCACAGTTAAAACTATTAAACTATGGACTTGTTTCAATGTTCCATGTTACATGACCCTACATTCGATAGCACACATACTTATAAATATAATTAAAATATAATCAGTGAATTTATTATATAGCTTATTGGGGTAAAAAGTCCGTTGAATTAATTATTAGAAAACGCTATAAAGTTACACTTAAGACTGAAGCTTAAATAGAGTTCCAATTAAACTCGCATAAATCAATACGTCCTTGATTTTGCGAATGGCCTTTTAAAGTCCAAAAGTTCTTAAGTTAATACTTTAATACGCTAATAATACTGTCCTGTATCAATGTACGTTTACGTAAAGAACGATTTATAAAAAAAAAAAGAATGATGTCGCATGCGACCTCCTTACGGCATCTTTTTATTGCCAACGATTGCGTTAATAAATTCGTAAGCGAATATAAAATATCGCGACTCACATGAGGATGTACGTCAGGCGAGATCTGTGTCGTTTAAAAGAGACGGCTTTAAAAAAAATATTTTCATCAGTAGGTAGCCTATAATTAGTGTCGGATTTGGCGGGAACTTTGGCTGAATTTGCTGAAGCCAGTGTTGTATTTTATTGATATTTCAGTAGAATCCTTTTCAGTTATCACCTCCAAACGAAATCCCGTGATAGATCCGAACATACAATTGTTAGTATTGGAATAAATACTCCGCGCACAAATAAAAACCTAGCCAAGGGCGAGTCGGACTTACGCCCGAATGGTTCCGTACCATTATCTATAAAAACGGAAAAATATCATGTCTGTTGTATGAGAGCCCAACTTAAAATATTTTTAATTCTGTTTTTAGTATTGGTTGTTTAGCGGCAACATTAATACATAATCTGTGAAAATTTCAATTGTCTAACTAGGTATCACGTTTCATGAGATACAGCCTGGTGACAAACAGACAGACAGACAGATAGATAGATAGACCTCGGAGTCTTAGTAATAGGGTCCCCTTTCGGAATCCTAAAAAGGCAAGTAAAAATAAAAATGTCCCGCTGAGTTTCTTACGCCGGTTCTTCTCAGGTCAGTGGCTTGCCTTCCGAACCGGTGGTAGAGTTTTTTGACTATCAATAAGTAAGTGAATGCTTCTATATTGAATAAAGATATTTGATTTTTACTTTGACTTTGAAGACAATTTAATGATTTCATAACTACTGCTTAGTATTCTCTCCAGCGTTGCCGCTAATAAAAAATTCTATTATACCTAGTTCTGAGTTCGAAAGATAAAATTATCTATAACTTTTTATATAAAATTATATTAAATACACATCACTTACTTTGAAGCGTCGTAAATGAGCATTATCTTACGTTAAACATGAATAGCCCACGTTTTGGCTTGAATCAAAGAATCTAATGTACCATACAGGTTGTATATCGGATGACGCTTCTCTAATAACGCCTTCATTACGCGAAGAGTATAACTTTGACACACGAGCGTCCGTCTTGCCTGAATTAATTAATCCTTAACCGGGCTGCCTCTGCAGTGACAGTGTCCTGTATAGGTAATATTTCATGGGAAAGATGACCACCTCAGAGATAATTGGGCTCCGGTTACACAGCGCTGCCGCCGTTTAGAGACATTTTAAACTAGGACGTGTTGGACTCTCCTTTTGAATAGATATATCGTTAGTTTGTAGTTTGCAGGTTAAGAAGTTCGTATTTTAATGTTTTAACCGACTTCAAAAAAGGAGGAGGTTTCTCAATTCGACCGTATATATTTTTTTTATGTGTGTTCGGGGATAACTACGTCATTTATGAACCGATTTTCATGATTCTTTTTTTGTTGGAAAAGAGATATCCAAAGGGTGATACCTTGATAAGGAACCCAGATCTGACGATGGCATCCCAGAGAAATCGAGGGCAATGCTCAAATGTTATAGGTGTTGACCATGCTTTTAGTTTCCTGTTTCTCTTTCGGTTTTTTTTTTGTTAAAAATTATTGTAATCATGTTTTAAATCGTATAGTCGTGTTTGTTTTGGGGATAAGTTTTATATTAATTGGTTAAAAAAATAAGTAACAGCTCATAGTCCCACTGCTGGGCAAAGGCCTCCTCTGTACAGAGGGTATGAGCTCCACGCGGCCCCACTGCGGATTGGCGGACTTCACATATTTTCGAAATGTTTTTTTTGTTATTATTTCGAAAATATGCCGATTTCAGCACATACGATAAGTCGGCACTTAAAATTAAGCATTTCTTAGGTGTTGGCACCAGGGATCGAACTCAGGTTGCTCGAATATATTGCATTAAAGGCGACCGCCCGGCCACCGAGCTATCGCGGCTCTATTATTTGGTAATTTAAAATATTTCGATACTCATAGGTTTGTTGGTTGACATCAATAAAATAGTTTGTTTAATAATTGCGAAATGCAAATATCCTATTAAATCGTTTATTTAAACGAGTATTCATATTCTGAATAGATTTTATTCCCAAATCTATCGAACTAAAAAGTAATATCCGGTTACCTCGCAAAAGTCGGATTTATTTCACATCAAATTTTCTTATTTGAATATTCAGTCAGCATAATAATATGATGATAGATAAACCTAAATTTATTATCATAAAATTCAGCTTATATAAAATTCAACATAAATTTGGTTAGAAAATGTGCCTAAGCAAAATCTTTTCAAAAATTGTTTGGAAGAAATGGTTTTATGTATAAACAGGGAATGATTCATTCCTGTTTATGTATTTACCTATTACTAATACTCCGCTGTCTGTCTGCATGTCCGTCTGTCACCAGGCTGTATCTCTGTAACCGTGATAGTTAGACAGTTGAAATTTTCACAGATGATGTATTTCTGTTACCGCTATAACAAGAAATAATAATATAAAAAACAGGATAAAAAATATTTAATTGGGGCTCCCATACAACAGACATGATTTTTTCGCCGTTTTTATATATAATTATACTGAACCCTCTGTGCGCGAGTCCGACTCGCACTTGGCCGATTTTTATTTGATAAAGTTAGTTTATGACTCTTTTGGAGACTAGGTTAAAGGAAGACCGTCACAGGGCCTTAATAATCCACAAGCCTTTTTTTTATGTGAAAATT